CCTCCCGGGGAACCCAGAGGGCACCCCCACCCGCAGTCCACTCCCGAAGGGTGCCCCAGTCCTCCTGCCCAGTCAGCCTGGGAGGGACCCACGGCGTAAGCCTGGGGTTGGCCTTGGACGACATACCTCTGTGCCACTTCCCGAGAGCAGCTGCGAGGCAGGCAGCAGCCCAGAGGCCTCCCGCACCCCCATTTGCAGCAAGTGGGGGGCGTGGGGTACCGGTAGCCTGCTGCCTGCTTCCAGGGCCCGACGCCAATTGTGTGGAGAGGGAGGCTGTGCGGGGCCGGGACAGTGGGCGTCCGCTGCCTCCCTTTCCAGTGTGGGCGCTCCCTTGCAATTTCCTGGGTCATTTTGGGTTGGTTTTTAGTCTTTTTGTAAATTTTTTATTTTTATTGATTTCAGAGAAGAAGGGAGAGGGAGAGAGAGAGAGAAGCATCAATGATGAGAGAGAATCATGGACCGGCTGCCTCCTGCACGCTCCCTCCTGGGGATTGAGCCTGCAACCCAGGCCTGGAATGGAACCCCGGACCCTTCAGTCCGAAGGCCGACGCTCAACCCACTGAGCCAGACCAGCCAGGGCCAACCCCGTGGAGCCTTTGTACCTCGGCTTCCCCTGCAGTCAAGGGGGAGGGGAAGCCCGCCTTCCCGGGAGGGTGTGGGCAACTGCACGCACAGACTCTCACCGCCCTCGGCCTGGCCGTGCCTGGGACGCAGGAAAACGCAGGAGGCTCCCAGCAGCCCCGGGTGCACTTGGATCCCTAGTCAGGAGGGAGGCCGGGCTCGCAAACCTTCAGCCAGGCCCACAGATCGGCCGGGACTCCGAGGCCTGGGCCGGGCCTCTCCCACTCCCCGGGAGCAGGAGGAGGTCACGTCCAAGGGGCTTGCCCCGCCCTCCGCTCCACTCCGCTGTGTGCACGGGGTTGTTTTCCTCTCCTTCGCCTCTTGCTTTGGTTTGCAGTTCTCCGGCCTCGTTTCTGCAAACGCAGAAATCCCACTGAAATGTCTGTTTTTCCACCCATTTCTCCAAGTCCCGATCACACTCCCGCTTCACTTCTAACCGCTGCTGGAGGGCTGACCTCCTCGGCTGGGCTGCCTTCTCGTCGCAGGGGCTGGGAGCCACCTCTGCCCAGACCCCCCTCCGGGGGCCTCGCAGGGGGCTCCTTGGGGAAGCTCATTCATTGCCTTCGGACGGTTCCACCCATTCACTTTTTGGTGTGTTTTTTCTCCCAAAGCAAGAAATGATGAGCGCCTCCGCCTTTGACCTAAAAGGGGCCACCGTATTTATTTATTTTAATATATTTGTATTGATTTCAGAGAGGAAGGGAGAGAGAGAGAGAGAGAGAAACATCAATGATGAGAGAGAATCATGGATTGGCTGCCTCCTACCCCCTGCTGGGGATGGAGCTTGCATCGCGGGCATGTGCCCTGACAGGGATTCGAACCGTGACCTCCTGGTTCCTAGGTCAACACTCAACCACTGAGCCACGCTGGCCGGACGCTAATAAGGCCACCGTCTTGGATAAGGAAGCCGGGGTGCAGTCAGCATTTCGCCTTGGACAGAGAGACCTGGAGCTCAGGGCTTTGCAGGGACCACCTCCCCGCTCGGGGGGACTCTCAGGCCTTCCCGCAGATGCGGTTTCATTTCCTTCTCAGACGGAAGCAGGAGCCAGCCCTCCTCGATGAGCGTTTCAGAGGAGAAAGACCAGCTCCTAAATGGCCGACCCAGAGCGGGGAGGGAGGGCAGCGTGTCAGCGTCCCTCTCCAAAGCCGCTTTCCACAGAGCCCGGCCGGCTCGGCTCCTCGGAGCCCGTCCTGACCGCCCTATTCATAGCTCTGCTATCGCGGCGGAATTCTTTGGCCGGTGACGCACAGTTCAGGGAGGGAGAAGCGATATTTTTTTTCTGTTTTCTCTTCTTGAACGGAGGAAAAAGAACAAGGAAAACAAGGAAATTCTTGCAGAGGTAGATTTTCCAAGGGAGGACTCGGGACCACAAGCCCTTCCCGCCTCCCGCAGGAGACAAAGACGCTCCTTAGAAAGGGCTTCTCCGTGGAAAAGCCTTCAGACAGAACCCGTGGACGTGGCCCAGGGCCCAGCCCACCCCGTCCCTGCCTTCCCCGCGGAATCTCATCGCAGCGCAGACCTTGCCGAGTTCAGGCCTCCCCGGCCGGGCCAGCAGGCCACGCGCCCGCTGAGGCATCGGAGGGCCTGGCAAAGGCCGAGAGGCACATTCCAGCTCCGTCTCCCCGGCACGGCGGAACCCCTCGGGTCGGAGCCCCCCCAGGGGACCGGGCGGGTGTGACGGTGAGGGCTCTGTCACTCCAGCTCAGTGAAGCCAGCTGGAGCTGCTTAACAAAACAGAGGGAAGTTGCCCGCCCGGCCAGTGTTGCTCAGTGGTTGAGCGGCGACCTATCAACCAGGAGGTCACGGTTCGATTCCCAGTCAGGGCATCTGCCCGAGTTGCGGGCTCGATCCCCAGTAGGGGGCGTGCAGGAGGCAGCCGGTCCATGATTCTCTCTCATCATTGATGTTTCTCTCTCTCCCTCTCCCTTCCTATCTCTGGAATTAATAAAAATTAAAAAAAAATTTTTTTTTTTAAATTCACTGTTTTCAAACTGCTTTAGCCAAAGGACTCTTCCTTATAACCTTAGGACACTCCCCTCTCGCCTCCTAAGACAAGCTTCCCACCGAGGGCGTGGAGCAGGGTGCCACGGGACACCAGCCACGGAAAGCAGCTGAGCACAGTGGCCGTTCAGTGGCCGTCACTCGTTCACGAAAGCCCGGGCGCTGGGTGCGAGCGTATCTGCTGTAGCAGGAACCCTCCGGCTCAGTGTCCAGTCCTCTGCGGCCCTGTCAGCCCCACCCTCGCTCCCAGGCCCCCGGGAGGCCCCCTAGGGAGACTCCGGTGGAGAGAGCACGCAGGCGTCCATGTTCCTCTCGCTGTCCCTTTGCAAAGCAATCCCCCGCGCCCCGCATGGCCCTCCTCACGCTGACGCTCACCCCCTTCCCTCCCCAGATAAGCCGTGTGAGCTGTACTGCTCGCCCCTGGGGAAGGAGTCCCCGCTGCTGGTGGCCGACAGGGTCCTGGACGGCACGCCCTGCGGGCCCTACGAGACCGACCTCTGCGTGCACGGCAGGTGCCAGGTGACGTGTGCTCTGTGTGTCCTCGGCGGGCGGCTCGCCCTCCTCAGAGGGGCTCGGCGTGGGCGGGGGCCCGGGGAGACCTGGGGGAGTGGGTTTTCTTCTCTTTTTTTAAATATATTTTTATTGCCCTGACCGGTGTGGCTCAGTGGATAGAACGTCGGCCTGCAGACCGAAGGGTCCCGGGTTCGATTCCGGTCAAGGTCACATACCTCGGTTGCAGGTTCCTCCCCAGCCCTGGTCAAGGAGTGTGCAGCAGGCAATCAATCGATGTGTCCCTCTCACATCAATATTTCTCTCTGTCTTACTCGCTCTTCCACTCTCTCTAAAATCACTGGGAAAATATCCTCCGGTGAGGATTAAAAATATATATTTTATTGATTTTAGAGAGAGTGGAAGAGAGAGGGAGAGAGATAGAAACATCAATGAGAGAGAAACATCGATTGATGGATCGGCTGCCTCCTGCATGCCCCACACGGGCGATGGAGCCCGCCACCCGGGTGTGTGCCCTGACCAGGAATCGAACCGTGACCTCCTGGTTCATGGGTCGACCGCTCTGCTCAACCACCGAGCCACGCTGGCCGGGCAGAGGAATGGGTTTTCTTAAGAAGGTGCCAGGGTGCTGCCTCCCACCTGCAGACTGGTACCCCCTCCCCCCCCCCCCCCT